AACAATAGGATTAACTAAGCCCAGTGGGTCCTGGGCAACCCCTAGAGTGGGGCTGCGCATGTGTACTCAAGGCCATGAAAGATGGCAAGTGTGACCTGAGTGCAAGACAGCAAGGAGGTGAGATTTTTTAACCAGGCTGAGGGCAAGCCATGCACAGGGAGCCATTAAAGTCTTTAAGTGGACAGGTGATGTGATCCAATGTGCATTTCAGAAAGAGTTCCATCTCCCTGTGGCGAACGACTTGGAAAACATCATAACTAAATGTCATTAGACCTGTTAGAAGCTGTTTGTTACTGGTGAGCTGAAGTCTAGGAGAGGAACAATGGAGGGAAGATGATGATGAGGTAGACAGGCTTACAACATATTCCATTCCTGTAAGATCTTCCAACAGCCTTACCTGGCAATGAGCCTCTCTGTTCATGAGCTAGATCACCATCTGAGAGAAAAGCACAACCTTCCCCTCTTTCAGGCTTCTCCCTAAGGATGTCCCTTTAACTTGTGCCTTGGGATGCCTTCATGATTTCTTTCTAGCTTTCTCTAAAAATGAAGTAAAACATCTCCATGATGCCCGAGACATATCAACTTCAAGGTCATGGATTGAAATGATGATAACTTAGATTATAGGACTGTCAACTTTCAAGGCCCCATGATAAGTGATGCATCAAGGGGCTGGGATCAGATCAAGCGAGCTTCAAACAACTGCAGGCTGCTAGAGCGTTTAATCTGTTGATTGAGTGCCATATATTCCAATTAACCAAAGTAGTCTTCTTCCAAACGCTTTGAGGATGCTGTAGTAAGATCCCTGCATCAGGTGAGAGTGGATCTGGTTACCAGATGCTCTCTTCTGCCTGGGATCCTTGCTCCTGCAAGACAGCAATCTGTTCCAAGAATGATGTTTAACCATGGTGTTGTGCTAGGCACCAGGGATTGGAAGACGAAGAAACATTCCCTGCCCTCCCAGAGCTGCAGCCCAGCAGCTCCACCCATAAGGACAGCGCAATGGGATATGCTGCAGCACAGGCAGAGGCAAAGCGCTGTGGAGACCCCAAGGCCAGATGCAGGAGCTCTGCCTGGCTGAGTTAGAAAGGTTCTCCAGAGTCTGATACAGGTGTCAAGGGGTGAGCAGGAATTTATCTTGTGAAGAGGAGGAGGCTGATTATTTCAGCAGGAGAAATAGCTCCTAAAAAGATACCTAAGGGTGAGATGTGCCCCAAAAGTGACCCCAGAGGTGATAGAGAGGCTGTAGCAGGAGGTAGATCTGGAGACAGAACTCTGGTGGGGTTACCGGAGCAGGAGGATCTATCTGCTTTGGGGAATATACTGTGTTAGTTTTCTATTGCTGCATAGAAATGGGGGAATACACTGTGTTAGTTTTCTACTGCTGCATAGCAAATTACCCCAAAACAGAGAAGCTTAAAACAATCCACATGTGTTATCTTATAGTTTCCATGGGTCAGGAATCCAGCTGTAGCTTAGCAGTCCTCTGGCTCAGGATCTCACAGGCTGTAATCAAGGTGTCAGCCAGGACCAAAGTCAACTCAAGGTTCTACCAAGGGAAGACGACCTTTCAGGTTCACTCCTGTGGCTGCTGGCTGGAGATATCAGTTCCTTGACACATGGGTTTCTCCATAGGGCAGGTCACAACATGGCAGCTGGCTAGAAAGAGAGACTTTTTGTAACTCAATCTTGGAAGTGGCATCCCATCAGTTTTGCTGTATTCAATTTGTTTAAAGCCAAGCACCAGGTCCATCCAGCCTACGTTGAAAGAGAGGTTACACGAGACAGTGAATATCAGGAAGTGATGATTACCAGGGGCCATTGTAGAGGCTGCCTCCACATATACCAAGAGCTATTTATGGCCTCATCGCAGCATTATCCCACTCTGCATAAATTATACAGAAAGACATATAATTTTATTGCATATTAGTTTTTGTTGATGGGTACATTCTGGTCCTTAGGAGCCCTGAAGAACAATGTGTTTCATGTCACAGCTCTCCCTAAGGATTTTATACAACCCACTTGGCACTCACACTGTTATTATTAAATGGATTCAGCCAAAAGCTGCCTGTTGGGGTAGAGATCAGTGGGAAGGTAGGGTGGCAGAGAAAGGAAGTGATCAGGACCCCAAACTGAATAAAGAAAAAGGTCACACGCCAACTGCAAGTTAGAAATGAGTCTGAGTGGAAGTAAGTATCCTGGTTGACAGCTCACACACGATGCCAACTTGCCACAGCTTGGCAGCGCCTTTGGTTTTCCCACATGCAACTGAAAATAGCTAGCATTCATCCTGAGGGAGTGCTACTAAAATAAGTAACTACTTGGAGCTATACCTCACTGCTCATTCAAGTTGGAAGCAGTCTGCAATTATTTTGCTGAAATTAGATACAAATTAAGTTGCCACTTCCGGAACTCTTTCTTCTGTACTATATTACAAAAAAGAAACTGATTTTTGAACTCGGACAGCTTAGATGCTACTTCTTAAAAATAAATCTGATCTCTGACAGAATATCTAAAAAGACAGATTCTTGATTTTAATCCCTCATGAGACCTAACCTCTTCACGACCCAGGTTTCCTGATTTTCAGACCCGAGTCGAGTTGCTATGGATACAGAGTGACAGGCCAGTAAAGGAAATGAAGGACGGGGAGTGGCCTGCCCACAGGTGAGATATACTGTCTTTAAACTTGTTGGGGATAGAGAAGGGGGTTAGCCTGGAATTGTCCTCTGGGATGTAAGGGAATGGTCCTGCTCCCACTTTTAAAATAGTGGTTTGAAAGTTTTCTCAGGGTATGCATCCATTTGGACATAGAAGTTCTGCTATGTTTTAAAAAGCAAAACCGAATAAACAAACATATATGAAAACAAAGCATAATAACAATGGTTTGGATCTTTCCTCAAACTTGACTGGAAGTTACTGGCACACAAATAGTAGAGGTGTATGGGGGTTTTCTGCTATGAAAGAGCCCCTTATTTGCACTATCTCAATGAAGCAGCACCTTCTTTTGACCTGCCTTTGGAAGAAGTAGGTGAATTTCTAAGAGCCCAGCTGTGCTGGACCCTAGGAGGCTGTCAGGCTGTCATAGCTCCCAGGGTAGGAATGTTTCTCCACAACTTTGAATTCCAATTTCCCTTTGCAAAAGGCAAAATGTGTTTTATTCCCATTGTTGGAGACATTAGTCATGGATGAAACACATTTAAAACTCCCCCTACCCCCTACTTCTCGCCCACCCCACACATTCCCACTCTATATCCTCATTCCAATCTAGTGAATCTTAGAAATGACACATTGAATGAAGAGTTTTCCAGGTAACCTTTCCTTCTTGGTGAACTTTTATTTTTGTAGGGTTTTGGGGTGTGTGTGTGTGTGTGTGTAGTTCCATAATTCTCAAATGAAAAATTGCTAAAAGGTCATCTAAGCAAATCCTTAAGATAGTGAATCTCTACAACATCACTTTAATTTTAGGAGATACTTCATTTCATGCCTTAAATTTTTCAATGATTTTCAGTGTCTCCTTATCCAGACTTCTTAGGACTTGGAAAGAAAATGAAATGACGTTGAAATCAAAGTAAATTGAGTGATCTGAAATGGACTGATGTCAGCAAGAATTCAGCATACAGCTCACGGCCCTCCCCCAGCACATCTCCCTCTTGGGTATGGTTAGTTCAGCTCCAAATTTATTCTGACAAGAAAGCACAGGCAAGGCTCCAGTTGGTCTAAATCAGGTGAATATGCAAAGCAACCACCCTTCCTGGACAGCCTTCTGCTTTCCCAGTGCTTGTCATGGCCTGAAAATTCCTGTTTGAAGAAGCAGAACTTTATTTTGAGTCCTCACAGGACAAAGTCACACTCGACAGTGCACAGGCACAAGTCGGGCTCCAGAATGCATTTTTGGCAGAAAGGCTCCTCTTTTCTCTGTCTTCTCCAACTCTCCGTGGGCCTAAACCTTTCAGAAGCCATTCCATGTTCCCTGAACAGGAAAAGACAAACTCAGACCCACAACCTTGGACTTCAAAAGAAGGCACACAAGGGGAGGAAGGACAGAGTACCAAAGCGTGAAAATTCAGAATGCTGCTATCTCATTTATTTTAACCATTTAGGAAACGTTTTTATCCGCTTCCTTTTCCCTTCCCTGATTTCAAAAAATAAAATAATAATTTAAAAAAAATGATTCGGTTCTGAGGAGAGACTCTCCAGATGGAAGAGGGAGAAGATCAGGGGATGAATGGGGGAGGGCTGATTGCGTCCTTTCCCCTGCCACACACACGCTCCCGGTTTCAGCCTGTGTAAAAATAGCTGCCCAGGTTTTTGTATTCATCCCTAAGCGGCAATGAAGCGCCTGCTTCCCGGCAGAGTCCGCAGCCTCTTAGTAGCTTATAACATCAGGTGACGCCTCCAGCTCTCCCGTTCCCCGCCCCAGCCCGGATAAACGTCCTCCGTGACCTTAGAAGTTTTCAGTTTAATCAGCGGTATCGTTTTTGAGAGGAAAATCCTCCCGGCTTTGCGGGCTGGCAGGGCTCTGGGGCCCTCCCCTGCCTCCCAGCCCAGGCCGCAGAGCGAGAGCGTTTCCAGCTGTGCTGGGAGCGGGAAGGAGCCTCTCTGTGCTGCCCGGCACGTCCAGCGCGCGGGCGGGAACACGCTCTCCCGTGGGGGGCAGCTTTCCAGGGGTCTTGCCTAACGAGGGCCAGGCGGCTCCCCCGTCGGCCCCGAGTGGCTCCTGGCAAGCCGACCCCCATCCCAGTTGGGAGCACTGATTTGCCGGCGTCGGGGGAGGCAGCAGCACCCGCCTGCTGCGAGGGGATCCAGCGGTCAGGCGCCGAGGGCCTGCGCGTGCGCAGAAAAGAGCTGCCTCCGCGCCAGGCTGGGGCGCGAGGGCGGAGGGCGGAGAGCGGAGGGTGGAGGGCGCATGCGTCAGCCGTGCAGCTGGCGCCGCGTGGGAGAGCTGAACTGCTGGGTCCTGCGGTCAGTGCCGTTTCTTGGCGGCACGTTGGGGACACTGCGCCATTAGAAGAGACAGAATGTTAAAGACACAGCCTCCTTCGAAGGCATCTGCATAATGCGTCCCGTTTGCAGATGAGGAAGTTGAGGCCCAAAGAGGTGATGGGAAAGGTCCAAAGCTGCATTTCTGGATTCTGGCAGCTGGGACCAGATCCTGCTCTTATTGGTATGGTTTAAGCACTTCTTCAATGAGCACTTATCAAACTCCTGGATACTGTGTACTCAGTGTCTGAGTGGCAGTGAAAGATAACCACAAATACGTCAGAAGCAGTTGTAGCCACTGCTGCCCTGGACTCGGGCATAGAATCGGACCTGGGTTTGATTTGATGATTTGCAGGACCACACTACTGGTTGGATAGCCTTAGTGAAGCAGTTAACGGCTCCATGCCCTAGTTTTCTGGTCTGCAAAACCGAGATAAAAATAGGCGAGGGTGGTGGGATTTAAATGAGATAAGGTGCACATTGCTAAGCACAGTGGCTGCACATGGAAGGCACTCAAATAAATATTCGTGCAATGTTTTGAGAAGTAGAAAGTGCCAGGCACGTAGGAGTTCAGGAGACAGTCACGGTACTCCTTTACAGACAGAAGTCATGCGGAACAAGAGGGACGGTGCTTTCCCGTGTGCCGTGCTTGGGGATACTCACACAGACAGTTACAGCATGTGGCATGACAGGGAAAGGAGGAAATGACTTCTGTTAATCATTCCTTCAGCTTCTCCCGCCCTTCCTGTGCACCCTGTCTGTTTCCCTTTCCAATTCTCACTGTGACTCAAGGTGGGTGGCTGCAGAGAGATATTGGGACCTCTTATCAGGAAAAATATGTTCTGTAAGGTGGCATAATTTATGTTTTAAGTCGATCTTTATTACAGCGGCCGCCCTCCTCTTTACCTAGGTGGGATAGGCACAGGAAAAAGGAATGGGGTTAAGTGGATAAGTGACTAAGGTGTCAAATTGGAGTTGTGTGGATCATAGATCTCAGAGCTGAAGATCATCTGGATGGACTCCCTCGTTAATGAAGAAGCAGTGAGAAACTGTGAAAGGCAAAATGACATCAAGTTTCAGATTCAAGTTGGAGCCATAGTGCTCTATATCACCATAGTTCATTCATCCACTCACACACACTACTCTGGGTGGATACCTAATATACTGCCAGGTAAAAGGTTCTGCCTCAATAGGCAGCAAAAAGGGAAAGGAAATAGAAATCTGGGAAGATTCTCAGGTTCTTTGTGCAGCTTCATGAATGTTGATACCATTTACTGTGATTGCAAGTAGAAGGATAGAAATTGATCTGAGAGGAAGATGGCATGTTTTGAACATGTGTTTCATGTGCCTGTAGTGAAGACCTCCAGGTGAAGACCTCCAGGAAGAATTAGGAACATGAGTTCCAAGCACAGGAGAGAGGCCTGGAGGTGCCCACTGGGGAACAGTCAACATAAAGATGGTCACTAAAGCCAGGGCTGCGAGGACATCGTGAGGGTGATATCCATGGACCAGGATTATCACTTTGAGTGCTACCACTGTGAGGACTGCCGGATGCAGCTGAGTGACGAGGAAGGCTGCTGCTGTTTCCCTCTGGATGGGCACTTGCTCTGCCATGGCTGCCACATGCAGCGGCTTGTAAGCATGTCCTTTGATATATTATGCACGTTTTGACTGTATGTGCTATGTATGATTAAGCATGTGTAGTACTATGTATTATTCATGGGGATAAACATTAATGTACTAATTACATAGGGGTGGAGTAATCGTGTATGCTTTTAGAGTACCTTACGGTTATGCCATCAAATAATATATATATTAATTTACTAGTAGTTCAGGGAGTAGTTTAATATAGAATTTCAGCTTTGGGTGTTGATGGTAGAATTGAATATTCTTTCCCTGATTGTCCTGGGGAGTTGGTACGCCTCCTTTTCCGGTCCAGAAGAGCAGGCGGAATGAGAAGATTATGAAAGCATGAAACCCAAACCCTGACAGACACCAGCTCCTAAAGATCAAATAAGAGATCCCGAGGAACAGATGGAGAAATGGAAAGAAAACCAGAAAAAAGTGGCATCAAGCAGTTCACATCAAGACTCTCCACGTTGAAGAAGTGGTCCGGAGTGGGAAATGCCACAGAGATGTCAAGCAAATGAGCACTGGAATGTTTCCATTGTGTTTGACAATGAGGAAGTCATTGATTACTTGTGAGACATTGGTTTTAGTGGGGATGTGAGGGCAGAAACCAAATCACACTAGGTTAGAAGCAAAATGGAGGCAATGAAGAGGAGAAGAGGTAGTAGGGGGTAGTAGGTATAAATCACTGCTTCAAGAGAGTTGGTTGGGCAGGAAGGGGGAAGTTTCAGCTAAAAGAGGAGGCAGGGAGAGTTTTTTTTTTAAATCATTGTTTTGTTTCATTTGTTTTGTTTTGTTTTTGCAACTATGGGAAACAGACATGCTTATAGGAAAAGAGAAACAGGAGGGTCAGCAAGGAGAAGTAAGTTGGAGCCTCAGTACAATATCCAGAACTACCACAGGGTGAGTGACAGGAGAGGGGATTCTGGGCCCAGATAATCCAAAGGAAGGAATCCTCTTCCTTGGTTCTTTTTTCCTACCATTGGAAAGGAAGAAACGTACATGGGAGGTTTAGAAATGGACTTGGGATGCTCCTTAAGCAAGATTTGTCTGTGTCAGGATCTACCCTGGCAGTAATCCTACCATCAAATGCATTTAATGAGCCCCATTTGCATGTGGAGCTGTGTCCAGTGCTATTCAAATAATGTGAAATGGATACTGTTATTACCATGTCAGTCAGGACTAAGAGTAGCAAGTGACTGAAACCCAGCTCTAACCATGGGATCCATGGGTTTACTAAACTGAGTAGACTGGCTTTAGGCCCAGTTAAATTTCAGGTGCTTTAAAGCTATTGTCATGCATAATGCTTTAAAATTATCAGTGTACTTTTCTCTTTTGCCTTTCAAGCATATGAACTTAGTCTACTCAAGGCATTTATCTGCCTAGGAAGAGATGAAAGTTCTTTCCAGAAAGTATGCAGAGAAAGAAAACATAACACTCAGTTTCTGGCATTCAAAAACAAATTTTGCAGCAAGGCAACAACCACGTAATTCAAGCTATTACCTTGAGAAAATATCCTGTACCTTCCATTACTTTCCTCTTCAGAGGGTCAAGAACTGAGCTTGGTAGACTAAACCTTAGGGTATTATATTCAGAACGTCTAGACCAGGAGAAAGTAGGGATTATCAGAGGACAGAAGCAGTAGAATAAGACAAGAGGCCTGAGTGGAAAGATTGTATTGGAAAAGTAAAGATTAACCACAAGGGCAGAGTGAGCTCTTTCCCCTACATCTCCTCCAGAATTATGAGATGAAGAGCTCAGTGTTGGTGGGACAGCAGGAGGCCCTGCTATGGACTTTTCAGGCTGTGCCAGGTCCCTAAGAAGCGTAGACTCTACCCAGACATAGCAACAAGCCTGTAGCCAGCTTGCCAGAGGTGATCATTGTAGTGAGGTGACTCAGTGGTGTGGGCTGCCAAGGAGACCCCTGGGACCAGGGTTGATAGGAAGTCATGGACAGAAGTCAGAGTCTGCAGCAGCAGGAAGAGTGGAGAAGAAGCTAAGCCAGTCAGGGAACAGCTTTGGGAGCACTGCCTCAGATTGCTCCAGATGAACCACAATCTCCCCATCCACAGACCCCCATATCAGAGGCTTGCAGTGTACCCAGGACAGAAAAAAAGTGGATGTTGTCCCAAAATAAGTACACACAAGGCAGCTATGCTCAAGGGCCAGTACAAGGACAAGAGTTCCCTTCCTCTCAACACCATGAGGCCACAGAAAAGACACACACCACCATACTACCTCCACCTCAATAGGCCCTACAGGGATGATGATCGAAACATTTAAAAATCCTTACAGGCTCAGGCACTGAGGTGTCTAAATGGAGATGCCCTACTATGTCCAGAGTTAACCCTTTAGTTGATGGATTATGAGGAGCAGGGACCTCAGAGCAGAGCCTGTTAACCAACTGCTCCATGCATATTTTAGTATTTTATCAATGAGGGCAGCCATAATGCCATGTACCTGGTTGAATATTGGTCATGCATCCAGATGGAATCTTTATGGAAGAAGAAGGAGAAAGAGGAAGCTATCTGAGAAAATGAGCGTGTGCTCAATGGGGATATTGAATTATTGGATTGAATCAAGATTTAAACCCTAAATAGTGAAGGACCACATTGATTATGGACAAACTAGAGAAATTACATTTTATTGGCACATCCAAGTTGCAGTATGAGTTGAATTTACCATCTGTCTGCTTTCTTTTGTGTTAGTTTCACTCTCAGGCAGAAGCTCCAAGCATCAGCAGTACCAAAGGGCAAGGATATCTTTCTTACTAGTGCCTGCAAAATCCCAGTCAGGCTCCAGTTGGCTCAGCTTTGGTAATGTACCCATCTCTAAACCAAACCCTGATTGGTCAAGCCCAGGTCACATGACTATTCCTAGCCTCATGAACTGAAAGTAGAGTGAGGGGTGGCTCCTCTAAAGAAAATCAGGAGGCTGTGAGCAGAAAAATGGGGTAATGGATGTTGGACAGGCAGGCACAACAGAGGTACACCACTATTGCCTCCTGGAGTTTGACTTTCTAAAACATTGAGAAAGCACAGTATCTCCATGGCAGGAAATGAATTGGCACCTGGGCACTTATTCATACATTGATCAGTGTAGATAACTAACTTTGAAAATCATAAAGCAGATTTTTGTCCCCTCTTAAATTTTCTTCCCACAATGATTAAATTAATTTTAATAGTTAGAGTTGGGAAGTATAATCAACTAAATATCTAGTATAGTTTAAAGCTTAGTCCAGTCTATAAATAATTCCATTTAGGAAATGTTCAGTCTCCCTCTTTATTAATGTGAAGACAACTATTTTACTTTTTCTCTGTGTATTATTTTCTCTTTTTTAAGAAACACCCTCTTGTTGGACATGGTGGCTCATACCTGTAATCTCAGCTACTCGAGAGGCTGAGGCAGGAGGATTGCTTGAGCCCAGGAGTTAGGGGCTGCAGTGAGCTATGATTGCATTACTGCACTCCAGTGACAGAGCAAGACTGTCTCCACAAAAAGAAAAAAATAGAACCAACTTCTCCTAAATCCAAGATAAACTGCACAATTAGTTTATTGCCTATTTTTTAAAAAAGCTTTTTATAGGCTGGGGGCAGTGGCTCATGCCTGTAATCCCAGCACTATGGGAGGCCAAGGCAGGTGGCTCACAAGGCCAGGAGTTCAAGACCATCCTCGCCAACATGGTGAAACCCCGTCTCTACTAAAAATACAAAAATTAGCTGGGTGTGTTGGCGCACGCCTGTAGTCCCAGCTACTCAGGAGGCTGAGGCAGGAGAATCACTTGAACCCAGGAGGCAGAGTTGTAGTGAGCTGACATCACACCACTGCACTCCAGCCTGGGTGACAGAGTGAGACTCAGCAAAAAAAAAAAAAAAAAAAAAAAAAAAGCTTTTTATAATAAACAAAAAGTTTAATTATTCCAGATACAAAAGTAAAGGTATCATCAGCTTTTATTCACAGACTCTTATTTTTAATGTCACAGAAGCTTCCACATAAATTTTTAAATGTACATGATTTAAAAATCAGCCCTAAGTAAAAGGAGATATTTAAAGTCTAGAAAAAGGAAACATAGTCATCAATTTTACTCCAAAATGTATGCTGTCTTTTGGAAAGAGTTTTATTTCATAAAGGATTTCTTGATATTTACAATATATAGAACTTAAATCTCAGGATTGAAGAACTCTTTGGGAAAAAATGTATTAATCATAATAAGGGGAAATACACTCATCATGCCCTAGTGTCTGGGTCACATAATTAATTCAGAAGGGGCTGGCTTTCTCTGTATGTGGGATCCCAGGTATTCATTTATGCATCAAATATTTATCACACTCTTCATAGCTTCTCCACACTGTGCTGGGCACTGGGGATGTGAAGATGAGTAAGACAGGCTCATGTCTGAGAAGAATGGAGACAGGTGGAGAACACGAAGCTCTGTGCTGGGGGTATGAGGGCATAATGAGGGCTTGCAGGAGGAACAGTTCATTTTCCAGGGGATGGTGGCTCAGAGATGAGCTGGGATCATAAGCTGCCTGAAGGGTTTGTATTTCCCACGGTGCTCAGTGCAGTGCTGAGAATGTACTTGTAGACCATTTATTGCTGTGGCTAAGATGGAGGAGGTTTGGAAATCTTTGACAGCTGAGCTCTGTGACAGAAGAGAACAAGAATTCCTTGTCCTTCCGACACACTCAGAAGAATGTGTACTCTGGTGCTGATGTCCAAGGTCATGGTCATTCCAGTCATGCATTCAGCAGGCAGTCATTGAGCACCTACCAGACACTGCTCGAGCAAAGCAGACTAAAACCTCAAGGAGCTTACTCCTGAAGTAAGCGATATATTTTGATATATATTGTATATCGAAATGCTGATTGACACTATGTAGAGAAAGGAAACAGAATGGGAAAGCAGGGGTTGTAGGGTGAGGGTAATGTAATATGAAATGGGGTCTTTAAGAAGTCTAAACTGAAGACAGCGCCCTGATTTACCTGAGCACCAACAACTACGGCTGGTGAGGCATTAGAAGCCCTGTAAAGAAAGTGGCCAGCCACCTGCCCCAGAGTTTCTGGGAACTGGCCAGTTGGGGCCAAGACAGTTCCTGGTGTGCATCTTCCTCCATACCCCAAGAGTTTTCTTATATGGTGAGTAGAGCTGGTACGGCCAGAGTCTGAAGCAGTCGAAAGAGCATGCCTGGGTAGGAAACAGTCCTTTGTTCTGGGAATGATGGGAAGGTTTGTTTAGATGTAGGCAAGTCCCCAGGCAATGTCTTCTGGGGAAGAAGAGCATCCAGCTCCCTAAAGGAAAGATTTGGCAAGGCCAAGATAGAAGGTCAAGGCCCTGACCGTGAGAGTGGACTGGGTAAATACAGTCCAGCTGGAGTGACAATCAGAATGGAGCATAGACATCACGTCGCTGGAATGGACCAGGAGGAGTGGGCACATGGGGCACAGGCCGCATCTTTAGTGGGCATCAGGCTACAGCTGGGAGGAGAGCGAAGAGAACTTAGGGTCACGTGTAGACCTTTAGACTGGAGCAGAGGGTTGGTGTAGGGTAACCAGGTTGCAGGGCCTTTGGAATCAAGTCAAGTAATATGTGTTTTTCTCAATCTACCAACACTGGCTTAGGTGTATCTTTGCCATAGCCAGGACTTGCTTGTTCTGTCATCTGTGTAAAAACCACAGTTGTTTTGTTTTTTTGAGACAGGGTCTTGCTCTGTCACCAGGCTGGAGTGCCGTGGTGCAATCTCAGCTCACTGCAACTTCCACCTCTCAGGTTAAAGTGATTCTTCTGCCTCAGCCTCCCAAGTAGCTGGGACTACAGGCATGCACCACCACACTGGGCTAATTCCTATATTTGTAGTAGAGACGGGGTTTCACCATATTGGCCAGGCTGGTCTCAAATCCCTCATCTCATGGTCTACCCTCCTAGTCCTCCCAAAGTGCTGGGATTACAGGCATGAGCTACCGCGCCCATGCCCACCACAGTTCTTTTAAACATAAGCCAGGTAACAATGGAATAAACTGTAAGTTCACTGAGAGGGCAGCTAGGAATGGGAAGGAAGGTGAAATGGCAAGGAATCCCAGTTTTTCATGCCCAGAGTGTAATTCTCAACAGAAACTAAGCAGAAAGAAACTTAAATAAACCCCTGGGGAGGAGAAAGTATGTATAGTAAACAGTGGCCAGCACAGTGTGCCCTCCTGTATGAATACCAGGGTCAGAACAACCTGTCATTTTGCCACTTTGATCACACGATTTGGGTTAGAAAGAACGTGGGATTTAGACTTTGCTCTGAGTTTGGCTCTTGACTGTCACCTGTTCAGTGTGTGATCCTGGGTCAGTTTCTGAACCCTCTCAGCCTTCATTTCCTTGTCTGTAGAGTGGGAATGTGCAATCTGGAGTCTGTGCTAGGATTCCATCACATCTAGTGGACAAGTGGGGAAACCCCATAGGGACCTGGGAAATCTCCCTCTCGAGGAAATGCAGGGAGCTAAGTACAGTGGGCTCACCAAGAGGCGAAGGGTTGAACTGGAGGAAGGGGTCGTTTTGAGTACACTGTGGTAACAGTGGTGGGACCCCATCCTTTGCCCTACCCCATATCAGACCCCTGTCTGGTTCCTGGGCAGAGCTGTCACTAAAAGCAAAAGTGACTATTTGTTAGTAACTTCATAAGACACTAGAGTACAGAGTCACTGAGATGGGACCCCTATAAATGAGCATAAGAGAGAAAAAGGCATCTCCACTTGACAATCCAGAGTGCAACTTTACCAGAGTGAGATGGCAAAGCCAAAAAAGGGACAGTTCCTGGGCATTGATTTGCTGATGAGCACATGTAAGACCTCCTACCCCAGGAGCTCCCCAAAAGTGCAGGGTAGAAGGTGCTTTGCAGGGAGCTAGGTTCAAAGTGAGAAATGGTGGTAACAAACTAACATTTGGATTATTAGTCTTGATGTGACTTTATTTGTGTATGCATAGTGTATTAGACAGTGTTCTCTAGAGAAACAGAACCTGTAGGACATACAGAGATTTGTGGAAGAGGATCTATTATGGGAATTGGCTCAAGAAATTCCATGATATGCAGTCTGCAAGCTGGAGAACCAGGACAGCTGGGAGTATAATTCAGTCTGACACTGAAAGCCTCAGAACCAGGGGAGCCGATGCTGTAACTCCCAGTCAGAGGCCCAAGGTCTAAGAACATAGGTGACAGCTTATGTAAGTCCCATGTTGGAAGGCCAAAGAACCTGGAATTCTGATGTTGGAGGTGGGAAAAGATAATGTCCTGGCTCCAGAAGGGAGAGCAAATTCACCTTTCCTCTGCCTTTTTGTTCTATTCTGGCCCTCAGCCGGTTGGATGCTGCCCACCTGCGTTGGTGAGGGTGATCTCCTATACTCAGTCCACTGATTCGAATGCTAATCTCTTCCAGAAACACCCTCACAGGCAACCCAGAAATAATGTTTTATAATCTATCTGGGTGCCCCTTAACCCAATCAAGTCGACACAAAATTAACCATCACACCTGATGGGGGAAACTTGGCTAATACTCACCTCATGGGAATCACAGGATGTTCCCAAGCATGAGCCTGGATATGGCAAATACACAGCAAGTGGCAAATTCCCTCAGAAACCACCCAGGGAACCCACTGGAACCATTGCAGATGCTCAGAACAACCCCTGGTGTGTTTGAGAATTTCATGGCATTCTTGTGGCAAATATATTTAATTAAAAAATAACACCTATCTTTGAGCATGTATATGTTACAGTAAAGTATACATGCTAACAGGAGTTTGAAATTATCTTTTCTTCTCAGCATTTTACAGTTTACAAAATACTTCAATGTGAATTTCAGTCACATTAGCTCTTGAGCAACAACCTAATCATATAGGATCCCCATATACAAATCAGAAGACTGCATTTCAAAGAGGTGAAGTGACTTGTCTTTAATAACCCAGCTAATAAGGGGTGCAGCTGGACACAAACCTGGTCTCTTTCCACTAAAGTCTGGTAGAAAACTAAGACCAAAACAAATACAATAATGACAGGGGGAAAAAAAAAAACAGCAAATATGAAGACCTCTGGAGACAAAGACAGATGTCTGTGGCTGGACATCCAGGAGTCAGCAGGGACCTGAATCAATCTAACTAGAAAATGAAAGGCTGCTGCTGAGGACAGGGAGGCAGGGATGAAGGAGGCAGATTCCCAGTGGGGCCTCACCTGGCACTCCTGGAGATAGCACCCAGCTTTTCACATTTCACAGAGTATTTCTACTGATCTTTCCAAAGGGCACTGCAACTCTCTGCTCCCAAATCTCTGAAAGTCAGAATGGAGGCTTTGCTCCTATTTCACTGTCTGAACCAGGCAAATCACCTCTTGTGACTTTGGCAACTTCTGGTCTCAGAGTTTGTATCCCAGTCATTTCTACTTCTTGGAGAATTATTTATGACATTCTAAAAGTATAGAAAACCATCTACTGAAATGTGTCAACATTAAAACATTAGTTAGCCAGAAATTATGCTCATTTAAGTTATGGCAAAAAACAAAACAGACAGGAAATGACATTAGCATTTATGGGCCAGGCTCTGTACTGGTATCTCTCACACTCATGATCTTTTGTTATATTCACTGCAATATAATTTGGGAAATGGTATCATTCCCACTTTGACAGTTGAGGAAATGGATACTTAGAGAGGCAAAGTAACTTGGCTAAAGTCACACAGCTAATAAGCAGCAAATCTAGGATGTGAATCCAAGCCTGACTTCAGGGTATTTTGCAACATACCACAGTTCATGGCCTGTGGAATTCAAATGGAATTAAGAGATGACCAGTAAACACAGTTTCATTGCCAATGAAATTCGTGACTTTGCTTTTTTATTAGCTCAAATTTACCAACAATGCAATTTCCAAATTACCAGCTTCGGAAGAGTCCTTAAATCATTGAAGTATTCAGGATTCATGGAGTCCTGACAATCAGGATTTGACATTGAGGAAGATGTGACTGGAGGACCCATGTGGAGCTGAGTGACTCTAATGTGAACTTTCATTTTTGACAGTTCTCTGTAAAAGTGTGGCCTATCTTGCACTGGATAGAAGATGAGGAAGAGATTCTCAGTCAAACCTGCATGATTTTCTCAAACTCTGTTTCATACAGGTGCCAAAGTTTGACACATTCTAACCACTTTGCTTTCTTTGGCATCTCCAACTTTGACAACAGAGTAAGAATGCCTCCACCTTGACAGGAACAACGTGTGAAATGAAAGACCTCAGGTGCTATATTGGCTCTTGACAGGTCTTCAGTAGAAAGCACCTCCTGCCTGTTCTGTTCAGTCCTGGTACAGGTGAGTCACTGCATTGCCAGCCAGTCAAGTATTTTAAGAAACAAAATCTAAGCCGGAACCATCAGAGAAAGACGAGGGATGGATTAGCGCCATTAGCTTTGATGGTGTCTTGTTGTCATGGTGCTAGGAAAATCACTATCATTTAGAGTCCCACTCACCAGCTGTTTTGCTGGAATTTTTGACATGGAAGTCTGTGGCCACCTAACATAGGCGTGGGACACGGGTGTGCACACACGTGTACACCTGCGGCAGACACCCACTCTAGAGGGCTCACGTTGGTTGTCTGGGACGTGATTCAAAGGCTGTACCCATATGTATGATAACCGTTTCCCGTACATCAGCTTGCAGGAAGCCAAATGACCTCCCCAGCTTACCTACATCACATGAAGCTTTGGAGGAGTCAGTGACCATGTGAACCCATCTCAACCTCTGCTCCCTCATTCAGCATTTGGCTTGGGAAAACATGCCACTGTTGCCTGTCTCTTAAACATTATTTCCAGGCTCAGGTCTTCCATCATTCTGAGGGGCAGGGGGAACTTTGAGTTCTTCCGGGAGCTGGGGGTTGGGGGCAGGGGAATGCTGCCCAAGAGAAATGACTAGAATCTTTGTCAGGCTGTGGAATACAGTCTGGCATTTCTCGGTAGGTGACCTCCCCTGAGGCCTCTCCTGGCATCTACACTGCAAAGTCCCCTGTATCTACTGAAAAGGGTGAGGGTGGGGCATTCATTAGTACTGGGAGACCAGCTTTGAGTGGAAAGGAGCTTCTCTCGTGGCCCTCTGGTGAGCCACACTAGAGGAAGCCCCAAATGCACAGTGCTCCCTGCTCAGACTCACATTTGCCTGCCTCCACCCCCTCCCATGCTCTTCTTTCCAATGCCCTTACTTGGGAGACTGCAGTGGCTGTGGGGTTGCAGTGGGGGTTGGGGGGCGGCATACTGCACTACCTGGCTTTTTCCAAGTCCCTTTAATTAAACCGAACCTTCGTATGAATGTAAAGAACAAGTAGGCTTTATCCCTGGGCCCTGTGCTCCTCTGCCCCAGATTCAGACTTAAGGGCTTGGAGCAGACTTATTTTTATTAAAAGCCCAAGTGATTGGATTGCAGGTGGTCCTGGACCACACTTTGAAAAATGCTGGGGCAGAAACAAGCCAGCAAGCATATGGGATTCATCTGCTGTGAGTGGTAATTTATCTAGTTTCTAAAAATAGTGTTAGGAGCTGGACTGTGCCCCCCTCCCTGCTCCCATGCATATGTTGACGCCCTAACCCAAAGTACCGAAGTACCTCAGAATGTGACTGTATTTGGAAATAGGGCCTTTAAAGAAGTAATTAAGTTAAAACGAGGTCACAGGGTGGGTTCTAATGTAGTATAACTGGTGTCCTTATACGAAGAAATTAGGACACAGACCCACACAGAGGGGGGACCATGTGAAAACAGAGGGAGAAGACAGCTGCCTGCAAGCCACAGAGAGAGCCCTTCGAAGAAACCAACCCTGTGGACAATTTGATCTCAGGATTCCAGCCTCCAGAACTGTGAGAAAATAGATTTCCGTTGTTTAAGTCACCCAGTCTGTGGTATTTCATTATGGCAGTGAAGCTGACTAATACAAACAGAAGCCTGATTTCACTTAATAGTCATCTCAGGAGGTAGAGATTGCTCCAACCTATTATATAAACTAGGCTGGTTTGTGAACCAAAGGACATGAGCCCCAGATCTGGAGTCGCAGAGGTAGCATGACATGCACAGACAGCACAGCTTCTGGTGGCAGGCATTCCCACACTCAGAGACTCAAAGAACGTTCCTCCCTAGCCTTCCACCTGAGTGACTTTAGACAAGACAGCTATTGTTATTTTATTTAACAAATATGTATATAGTGCTTACTATGTGCCAGATAATAGTCTGTGCACTGTGCAAATATTAACTCATTTAATCCTCATTATAACCCTGTGATATATACACTGAAGAGCCACCGTCTCTTATTCAAACCCTTGCTTGGGGCCAGCAGTGGTTGGCATGTCAGAACTTGCAGATTTAAGGAATACGTACCATAGGCTTCATAACACCTCATGGCATCTGCAACAGCGTCCTGTTAGGAAACATACTAATGTTTCTAGTTTCTGTAGTGACACATATATATGCTGCATAAGTAAAGACTGTAAGTATCTTTGTGTCAACTCAAGACACAAGGATACTTTTATTCAATGTGCTTGTTTCAAGTCAGGTTTTGCTGCCAAATGAGTTATAAAAATATTTTTTCATATTTTGGAGCTTTTTTTTTTGGACGGAGTTTCGCTCTTGTTACCCAGGCTGGAGTGCAATGGCACGATCTCAGCTCACCGCAACCTCCGTCTCCTGGGTTCAGGCAATTCTCCTGCGTCAGCCTCCTGAGTAGCTGGAATTACAGGCACGCGCCACCATGCCCAGCTAATTTTTTGTATAAGTCTTCAAAATTGTTGGCCTGTATTAGCCCCATCTTACAGATGAAGAAACTGAGGCACAGGAGGTTAAACAACTTACCCACATCCATTAGCTCATGGGATGTGGGACTGGGCTACCAACTCACCAAGTTTGCAGCCTTGCCATGAGGACCCGATACAAAGTAGGTAGACTTCCGGGTTGAATTGTGTCCTCCAGAATTCATGTGTTGGCGTCTTAACCTTAGTACCTCAGAATAGATCCTTATATGGAAATAGTCATTGCAGATATAATTAGTTAAGATGAGGTCATTAGGGTGGGCCCTAATCCCAAGTGACTGGTGTCCTTATAACAAGGAGAAATTTGGACGCAGAGGCAGGCATGCACACGGGGAGAGCACCATGTGAAGATGAAGGCGGGGCCCAGGGTGACGCTTCTACAAGCTCAGCAATGCCAAAGGTTGTTAACAAACTGCTAGAAGCTGGCAGGGAGAAGCATGGAACAGATACTTCCCTGACAGCCCTCAGAAGGAGCCAACCCTGCTGACACCTTGACCTTGAACATGTGAGACAATACATTTCTGTTGTTTAAGCCACCCAGTTTGCAGTGCTTTATTTCAGCAGGCCTGGCAAACCATTACATGACCCTTACCCAGTGGTGGATTCTGAGTGGCAGATCAATATAGTCAGTAAATTAGATTATTTGTAAGCCCTCTTTCAAGTTCTGGATCTAATTTTTTGTTTGTAACATGAAGATAATTCACCTCTACTTGTACCCCAATGGTCTTTCTCGTACAGCATTTCTTTATTGTTTCAGAGATGGGAATCAACCCAAATCAATGATAGAGTGGATATAGAAAATGTGGCCTATATACACCATGAAATACTATGCAGCCATAAAAAGAATGAGTTCATGTCCTTTGCAGGGACATGGATAAAGCTGGAAACCATCATTCTTAGCAAACTAACATAGGAACAGAAAACCAAACATTACATGTTGTCACTCATAAGTGGGAGTTGAACCATGAGAACACATGGACACAGGAAGGGGAACATCACATATTGGGGCTTGTTGGGGAGGTGGGGGACAAGGGGAGGGAGAACATTTGGATAAATACCTAATGCACGCAGGACTTAAAACCTAGATGATGGGTTGGTAGGTGCAACAAACCACCATGCCACATGTATACCTGTGTAAAAACCTGCACATCCTGCACATTTATCCTAGAACTTAAAGCAAAATTAAAAAAACAAAACAAAACTAAACTAAACTAAACTAAACAGATGGGCTAAGCTGGATGCAGTGGCACACACCTGTAATCCCAGCTACTTGGGAGGCTGAAGTGGGAGGATCACTTGATCTCAGCAACATAGCAAGGCTCTGAACAATGGATGGGCTAATGTAAATGTGGTCTTAGAAAGCAAAAGAAGCCAGGCTCAGTGGCACATACCTATAGTACCAGCTATTGAGGAGGCTGAGGCAAGAGGACTGCTTGTGCCCAGGAGATCAAGACTGCAGTAAGCTATGATCCAGCCACTGCACCCTAACCTGGGCAATAGAGCAGGATGCTATCTCTAAAGAAAAATGCAAAACAAAACAACTTACATTAAAACCGAAACCATGTGGGCCCTAATTTGCCTTCTTATGTTCCTGCTTGCATTGTGAACTCACTCAGTTCTTGGCTTTTCTGAATCTCTTCTGCTTGTGTCTTCAGGTCTGTGGAGTTAAAACCACAGTGTGTTCAGGGTACAAATTCTGCAGAGGAAAGCAGAAATCTAAGTTAGAGGTTGTTTTCTGTGAGTTAAGAATGTGTTGCTAGAACCCTATTTAGGCTTGGAACATTGGGGCTCTTCATGTGGAAATTTGTCCCAAAACTGCCACTTCACTGAGGAGATAAAAGCTGCTTTAACAGAGCAGCTTGAATACTTTTCCTGTTCATAGGATGAGGCATGGTTGGGCCCAGTCTAGAGAAAGAGGTAAAATGCTAAAAAGTTGTTCTTGAGATTTAGTGACAGGAATCCCCATTGTCAAGCTAGCTTGGAGCTTTAAGCCTCTGCCTTAAGATTCTACCACATCAATTCAGAAAATGATTTGCTCTGGATGGGGTGTGGCTCCAAACTCTCATCTGTGGAAACAGGACCTCAGTTACTGTGTGTGTTCAAAGGATGGGCTTCTGGTTTCCTCCCACATCTGATTATGGAGTGTCGTGGTTCCTGGGGCTGCCTCTCTGACTTCCTGTCAGCCCCTCAGCCTTTGTCCAGGAAGCGGCTCCCAGCTTCTTTCCTGGAAGCACTTTTGCACCAAACCAAAAGGCCTCTCTCATGTCCCTACGGCCCAACCCCGCTCTCAGAGCCAGTGGTGGTTTTAGCATTTGCTTATGGTTTTTCGTCTTTGTTCCTACCCTCTCCTAATTTTAGAGGTATGCCTTCTCCTATCAGTGGATGCAGCCCAGTGGAATTCCGTAGGGATACAAAAATAGCTGCAGGATGGGGGGTGTCCCTTTGGTTGGTGATTCTAGGTAATACCAAATGAGATATTTAAATAAGCAAAAAGACTGATCTAATCAATTGAACTGCCGGCGAGCAGAGATCACATATTGTTCATTTTTGAATCTCTGGTGCTTAGCCCTGAGCTTGGCACAGAGCAGGTGCTCAGCACAATTATTTGTTGAATGAATCCATCTTAGTTGTCTTTTTCTTTGGAGAGGTGCTCTGACATGCATTAAGCTTAAACATGGTTGCACAAAGTTGGAAGATGTTCCTGCTTCATAATCGCTGTCATGAATCATGTCCAATAAAAAGGCTCTGGGATCAGGAGGCAAAGGACAAACAGTCCAGATCCAGCTCAGCCATTACCCAGGCGGCCCCAGGGTCTCAGCCTCCCTGTGCCTCGGTGTCCTCCAGTGCAACAAGAAGGTCGTAGTTTCTGATTTCCCTTCCTCACAGCTGATTATGAGAATGTGACAAGAACAGACATAAAGAGAGCATACTAGAGGTCCTACTTTTATTATCATTATTATTACTGCATGTAAATCGCAGAGTTGAAGTGCTCACAGTTATTTTTGACTACCTCAATCTCTTTTCTTCTCCATGAGCCTTCAAGGATCAAAGCCAGGTTCACCTCCTACCTCAGCTGAAGAAATGTCCCTCCTGGTGATGACTTCTTGCAGCTCAATCATCTGCTTGGTCAGCCAACATTTTCTGCATCACAGGTGATGACTGAAAAGTTAAGTTGTGGAAGACCAGTTGAAAAACAGTTGTTTGCTGACACGCTGCCTGTGCTTGAAGCCACTCAGAGCAGAAACAGTAAGATATTCTCACCCTGACACTATGCTCCTCAGCAGCATCCTTGAACCAGCTGAAGAGTCCTCAGCCCCAGTTCTTCCCAGAACAGGCCCAGGAGGAGAGGAGATTTGTTAGGGGCAGCCAGCCAGTAGCCAGCAGAGAGGCCAGGAACCAAAGCCTCCTGATTCCAGGCCGGTTTTTCCTCTACTCCCCACGCCTCTCAGTGGGGACATAGGTAGGTGGTGCTTTGCTTCCTCTTGTATCTTGGTGCAGATGCTGTTGCTAAGGTAACTGGGTAAGCATAAAACAGAAACAGCCCATGGGGTCTTGCTGCCTCCACCTGTGTGCCCAGACAGTTTCCCTTCCTGGCCAGAGAGTCGCAGTCAGTGTTATTGATCCAGGCCGAGCATCTGTGTTGGAGCCTGGAGAGAAACACCTGATCTGTGTGGCAGCCTGTATTCTCTGAACACTCCTCCTGGGTATGTTTTTAGACAAGATGTTGAAGATGGAGACAGATGATGAGGAATTGAAATTGCTTGAGTATACCAGTCGTCAGTGTGACATGGCTAAAATTGTCCAGGGCCTGGGTTCTTGGTATATCCTTGGTTTATTCAGGGCATCTGTAGAATAAGAGGGCTGGAAGTATGGCCTCAAGTCTGAACACTGTGTCTAGCTTTCCTGCTGTACCCCAAGATGGGACCCTCCAACCTTCAGACAAGGGCCTTCTTAAAGAGCTATGTGATACTGTGTGGCTGATTTTCTCTTGTTCATGGGAAGGGTTAGCTAAGTAATGCATTATCTAGGGCCTTCCTTACATCTTTTTCTTAACCTTCCCTTAGCAGGCCCACCAGAGTTGGTCCTAAAGGAGAGAGGAGAGAGCATACAT